TGATTCTTCATATCTATCCATCATGTAATAAATAACTCCACGCTGCCTTAATGCTTCAGCATGATATGGATTAATTTCTAATGATTTATTTAAATCTTTTAGTGATTCGTCGTATCTGTCCATCATGTAATAAGTTTCTCCACGATTCGCTAATGCGTTTGCACTATTTGGATTAATTTCTAATGATTTATTTAAATCCATTAATGATGCATCATATCTGTTCATCATGTAATAAGTAACTCCACGTTGCCTTAATGCTTCTGCATTAATTGGATTTATTTCCAATGATTTATTTAAATCTTTTAGTGATTCTTCGTATCTGCTCATCATGCAATAAGTAACTCCACGTTCTATTAATATAATTGCATGATTTGGATTAATATCTAATGATTTATTTAAATCACCTAGTGATTTTTCGTATTTATTCATCATTCTATAAGTTACTCCACGGCCTGCTAATGTAAATGAATTATTTGGACTAATTTTTAATGATTTATTTAAATCTGATAATGATTCTTCGTGTTTGTTCATCTTGCGATAAGTTACTCCACGCTGCCTTAACGCATCTGCATTATTTGAATTAATTTCTAATGATTTATTTAAATCTGTTAGAGATTCTTCGTATTTATTCATCATCCGATAAGTTATTCCACGTTCTGCTAATATAATTGCATTATTTGGATTAATTTCTAATGATTTATTTAAATCAACTAATGATTCTTCATATCTATTCAACATTCTATAAGTTACTCCACGACTTACTAATGCAAATAAACAATTTAGATTGATTTCTAATAATTTATTTAAATCTTTTAATGATTCTTCGAATTTGTTCATCTTACGATAAGTTACTCCACGTTCAGCTAATGTAAATATATGATATGGATTAATTTTTAATGATTTATTTAAATCTAATAATGATTCTTTATATCTATTCATCATACGATAAGTTACTCCACGTTCACTTAATGCTTTTACATTATTTGGATTAATTTTTAATGATTTATTAAAATCTATTAATGATTCTCGATATTTATTCATCTTACGATGAGTTACTCCACGTTTACATAATAAATTTGCATTATATGGATTAATTTCCAATGATTTGTTTAAATTTGCATGTAATTCTCTGTATCTGTTCATTTTTTGATAAATTACTGTTTATTATGTACTTGGTTTAAAATGTTTTAGTACCGTATATCCCTTAGAATAATTTAACGGTGTAAAAAAACAAAAACAAAATACCACAATCATCTTTTTAAATATTCGTATAATCAAGTAACACATTAAAATCAAATATTTCCTAAATTATTAATTTTTAACAAAGTGTATTACATACGTAAAAGTTAATAATTTAATAAATATTTGCTTTTAATTTATTGCTTGTTTGTACACAAACTTTATATAAAAAGAAGATTGTGATTCTTAGATTTCTTTCAGTGTACCTATTTTGGATGATTTTTAGTACAAATAATAATAATAATAATAATAAATATTGAGCTTATTTTAAGGGTTTAATTTTTTTAAGAAATTTGTACTCAATAAAAGGATAGCTTATTTTTGGATTTAAAATTTATGAAAGTAATTAGGCTCAATATTTATTTGTTTATATACTCCGATATGCATCGCGATACAAATAAATATTCTTTTTAGCAATTTCTATGAAATTTTTTACTAAGCAAGTAGAACCCGTATTGATTATTACACATGCTTGTAGCCCATATAAAATTTTTGATAATTAAATTCTGGCTTACCAAAATTCGAATAGAGGAACGAAACATTCCGAGGTTTCACTAGCATCAAAATATACTACTAGTTTTGCTAATTTATTTGATTGTTTAAATAAAGAGTATGCATGTAGAACTGTAAAGAGAACAAGGGAAAGTTATTATTAACGAATTAAAAATTTTGAAATTATATCAAAAATTCATAAATGGGACTTCCTACAGCAAAAGGAGGAATGGGGCAAAAAAAAAATTTTTTTTATTTTATAATAACTTTATTCTAATCGATCTAATTCTCCATTCTTCAAGATATTGAGTTTTTTTTTTTTTTTTTTTTGCCCCATCCCCTCCTTTTGAGTTAATGTATTTACGTGTTAGCACTTGATTTTGTCAAAATCCTACAATATCCTATTCTATTAAGCTTATATTAGAACCAAATTTGGATGTCCATTTCGAGCAAATGAAAACATCTTCCAAGGTTACGGAATATTTGAAATAAAAACTAATAAGATTACTTTATTGTAGGATAGTTGCAAATAGCACTTAGAAATAAAAAGTAAATACATGACGAAATGGCTTTATTTGTAATAAATATTTACTAATTATCTACATTGTTATAATGATCTATATCGATATGGGCTTTACCAACAGGGTGCACCCTAACCATCCTTATCATCTTAATCATCCTTATCATCTTTATCATCCTTATTGACTAACTTACATGACTACCCTCCTATTTTCTACAAACTTGGAGCCGTTTAAACTAGGTTCATTGTATTTTTGATGTTTTACCTGGTTTTAATGTTTCCCCAAATTGGAATACCCGAGGTCACGTGTCGCGGGATTTCGTCGGTTCACAATGTATTCAATTGGGTATTGCCAAAACTGGTTAAATTTGTTAGCGTTAGCCTCATTTTTTGAATTAAAATTATTTATAATAAATATTCTTTTTATAGTTTCATAAAGAAATATTACTGCGGAATGCTCTGAAAATAAAAACGAGTTTTTGTGTGATTCTGACAAATTTTAGTACTTTTTCCGCGTCATTTTTCAATTTATTGGTAATGGTCAGAATTTATGTCGACTCGGAATTGGCATGTCATTTCTCGATTTTCATCAATCGTGAAATGATAATAGTCAGGTATCATGTAATTTATTAATGGAAATAATAATAAGTAATTATAATTACATTGATATATCTTTTGATTTTATAAAGATAATTCTTTTACTGTCGAATACTTCTTTTTTCATTATATTCAAATTGATCTTTACTGTTGTATATTACACATTTTCCCCAACACTTATGGCACTTATGGACACTCATGGATTTGCAAGGATATAGCTTCGTGACTTGTGAACCTTTTGACTGAATAATTAGTGTCTTTCATTGAAAGAAGCAAATTCCAAATTATAATGATAATCACAAACGGCAGCCTATACTCTTCAAGATGGCTAAGTTCTTAGTATTAATAAGTACCCACCAAATATGTTCTTTAAGTAATAAAAAAACATAATATAATAATAAAATATTTAATTATATAACTATTATAACATTAGTGGCATGAATAAAATATTGGTTCAAGCCAAGACACCCGATCAGATATCTAAAGTTGTTAATAATTACATTGTTAAATCATATATGAATTTGTTTAATGTATGAAAATTTAGCTATTTTTTCTTAAATCTTTTTTTAATTATTCGGTAAATGAATATTGATTCTAAAACGACATATCGGGATCCCATAGTAAAAGGTGTGATGGGTCAAAACAATTTTTTTTTTGTGGTTTTTATTATTGTGTTCTAAATGATCTAATTTTTGCAAAAAAAAAATTTTTATATAAAAAATATTTTTTGGCTGATCGCCTTTTGCTGTGGGGCCCTCTAGATAACGATTCACAAATGACACATGTTAATTCCGAATCGACATAAAGTTGAATTCATTTAATACATTTAAACACTAATTATATCTATTTCTATCCATTAAGCAATGGTTATTCTTTCTCTTGTTAATATAAGTTTCTAAGATTCGGTCAAAAGTTTCTCGTACAAGAAAATTATAACTACGCGATTCTATACTATTAATGACGAAAAAGAATTAAGGTAGGTAAAAATTTAATTGATTTCTTATTTTTTCTTTTTTTTATTGATATTTTCGTAATTGTTGTAAGACATAACAGTTTATTAACTGATATATTTTATTCCTTATAATGAAATGTATAATTATCGTCATACTTTCTTTATTTATAAATACATAATTATTATCGGATATAAAATTTGATAACACCTGCATTTAAAATTAACATATCATATTTCAATTGATGAAAATTAGAAATAGATAATTAATAATCATTCATTGTTATGCTAGTATAATGATTAAGTATAAATGAAGATTTTTTTTGAAGTACAGTTTAATTCAAGCTTGTTTAAAAGTACAGATAAAATAATATAGTTATTTGAGAAATATTCTATTATCTAGCTGCTTAGTATTCAATAACTGTATTATCTGATTAGTTACGACGACGTCATCATCAAAATAACAAAGTTATTTGCTACTTATTTTATTATACAAATTAATTTTAGTTTATTATATTTGGAATTCAGTAATAAATATCAAATTTATATTAATATGAATACATATTTATCTAGTTAATATTAATATTTTTCTGCAATTATATAATAATGTATGTTTTACTATTTATTCTTGTTCTTTAAAGCTATTTATCTTGGAAAATTTTGAAACCATGTTGACTACCTAGCATAGAATTATGTTTTGATATATTTGAATGTAATACCAAGTTGTTTTTGATGAATTTTGAAAGAATGTACAAAAACTTTTTTGTTCTGTAAACACAATTTATTTATATTTTTCTAAGAATTTCTACATCACATTAACTATAATAATTGTGATACGGTCTAATTTTTTTTTAGAAGAAATAATGGTAAACTATGGTTAAAAAATTATTTGGTTATGACACTAATGAAAAAAAGAACTTCAAGTTCATAATATGATAAATGAATAGGTAATAAATTTTACGCAACTTTGGACAATTTTTTTGTTAAAAATACATTTGTGAATTTAATTCAAATTTTTTGTTAAATATTTAACATAGTGCAAATTTTTGCATAACAAAATAATCATATAGGTAATATTTAGATATAAAAATATATTTATTATCTAAAAGCTTATTCAATATAAATAATGCATAAAAAAAAATAATAATAAAGCCACTTTACTGTATTAAAATAAAAGTTACTATAAAAGCGTATAACAAAGCACTAGTTTGATGGGTTTAGAAGATTACAAATTTCAGGAGTAGTCACAGTTGCCCTATCTGATTTAGGTAAAGGACCTCGTTTTTTTGTTAGATTTTATGAATACACATTCAAGATTACGTCGTGCACAATTTGTACAAATTTGTCTACCAGAGCATTTTTCTTTCTTGATTCTACAATTCGTACATGCTAAAGGAGTATAGGAACGAATTTTTGGTTTTTTTTGATTGTAATGAAGTGCAGCAATTTCAGTCATTTTATTGAAAAGGGTTATTAATAAGAAAGCAAAGAAGGACGATACTTTATATATAAGTTTTCTATATGCTCATATATAGAAATACTCTGCGTTTGGTTACTGCATTGTGTCATTTAAACTAAATGAAACAATATGTAACATGTCACGGTTTGAGGAATTTTCTAAATTTCAATCTTAAAAATTTTTGAAAATCTAAATACCGGAATAAAACGAAAATGTGAGTCATATTTTTTTCAGATGATACAAATATTTCAAACTTGTTAGACGTTTTTTGACTAAAAAAGTATTACTATAGAGGTAAATAGCCAATAGAGGTATATTTCATAGATGTAATATTTTTACCCTTATATGCGTAGCTATAAATAGAGCAGTTAATTTTTTTTTCTTAAAACAATTCTATTTTTAGCCTTATACTAGGAATTTTCTAGGTTATTATAGTAGTATCTGTTTATCTAAGAGTTTTCTAAGTTATTATTACAGTAGGATTAGTTCACACAAGAATTTTCTAGATTATTACAGTAGGACTTTTTTTGGATAACATTTAAAGCTTACTAATAAGTTATAAGCCACCGCTTATTATATTTTGTGAGAATTCTATTGTGCCAAGATTTAGAACCATGCCAAGCTTTAGACCAATATAACCATATAGTAATTGTGAATGCGATCACCTTTGTACAGTTTTATGCAGTAGTAAATTTAAAAATGCATATTTAATATTGTATATATGAACAATAAAATATTTACAAAAAATTAGAACAATAGATTTATTGCTAATAATCCAGTTGAAACTGAATGTAACATTATTTAAAGCATTATTACAAACCAGGAACAATGTCATTTTTATATACTACACTAACATGAAAAAGTAACTAAAAAAAAAAGATAAGCAGACCTTATTGTAACCCACTATTTTGAAATATTTAGGAAACCTTATAATCAATAATTGCATGCCTCTCGCTATTTACGAATTATAGAAGATTCTTCAAACAATTGCGCAGATTCTGATATGTATGTACGTGCGTAAGTAGGTACGTACGTAATCACGATATAAATGGTCGGTATCACTATATAGTTTGGGGCGTCGGAATTATTTTTTATACAATAATTCCGGACGATAAATCCGCATTTATTTTCAGATTAAATAATAGACTGGAATATCAGATATTATTCAACTTGTATACGTAAGATAAGGAATTATCTACATATTTTTACGAATATATATTCAGTAACATAAGCCCATAAAATAAATGATATATTGATTTACTATAGCAAGTAATACATTTAATAGTGAATGTGAATGAATGAATGAATGTTGCATCTTTAGCACCGTTGTTACTTGTACCCATGTAACAATGTCCATCATCAATTATTTTACGTTAAACGTTAGGGATTTTACCTTATTTATATTAATTAATGATATAGTTACCTATTGGTACCAGTAACACAAACTCAAAATGGAAAATTAGAATAAAGTAATTACGTACGTTACATAAAGTACTTACATCGTTTAAGGCGTTATTGTGAAGAATTTAGGAATAAATTGTCACTTGATATATCTAAGATTTCGTTCCAGACATTTTTAATTAATGCATACATAAAAGTTGATTTAAACATTAAATTTATGTACTGTATTCAATTTCGGACTATCATGAGATAATGTCTCTGATTGGCTGTTTCCTTTTTAGATGTTTGCATAACTTTCACACAACGATGGTGAAATGTATCACGCAAATATAAAAAGAAAATTTGACAATTAAATGATCAGCAATCATTGATATATATCCATTTTTAATTTGCATCAGCTTCTGTGTTATCTAGTTCTTATCTATGTGTTAATGTGAAATAAAATACAAAAAGATTTGGTGTACTGTATCCCTGATTTATGTATGTAAATTTATGTGAACGTTAAAGATGTTCAGAACTGATCTCGTGTCACAAATTGATTGTCACAAATGGGTACAAAACTTATTGTAAAATGTAGGAGATTTCTGTTTACTTAAAGCAATTTCCGACTCGACTTTTCATAAAAAATATTGCCGGCAAAGAAGCAGATTACATCACCCGGAAATTTTGTGCTCTGGTTTAGAGTGATCAGAGACCAAGTGATTTTCGGTTTTCTGTCTAGGATAGTCTAGTCTAAGTTCAATTTACGATTCTAACTGATTAAAAGCCGATGAACTATCAAAATGCCAAGCCACACTCAATAATATTATTATAAGTGATCTTCTAATGAATGATATTCTAATTCTAATAATCAATAACTACTATTGGCTCCAATCCTTGATTACTAATAATTATTAAAAAAACTATCCAATCGCCTCAAATTGGACTAAATCCCATGTTAGTCCTTCATAATTAATAATAACTTTACATTGATAATTAATAATAACTTCACATTGATAATTAATAATAACTTCACATTGATATTAATAATAACTTCGCATTGATATTAATAATAACTTCACATTGATAATTAATAATAACTTCGCATTGATGTTAATAATAACTTCACATTGATAATTAATAATAACTTCGCATTGATAATTAATAATAACTTCGCATTGATAATTAATAATAACTTCACATTGATATAAATAGGAAAGAAAATAACGAGTCCATATACATTTTATCTTTGACGATTAATATTTAATATCGATTGCTAATCATCAGGTTTTAAATATTGATCATCATCCTACGTGTGTCGATGAAATAATTGTCGAAGAAAAAGATATCGGGAAATGATATGGACAAAAATAAAAATCTAACCTTCAAATTATAAATAAAAATTAATAATCATGAAAATATAAGGTATAATTTTTTAGATCACGATTTTCGATCGAATATTGGAGACATGCGTTATAGTGAATGTTTGAGCGTACTAAAGAGTCCAATCTTTTCACGCAACTTAGATACTAGGTCTCTCAATCCTTTATATTGGTAAGCAGTCGGTATAAGTTATTTTTATATACATACGTAAAATGAAAATTTTTACATTAACTCATAAAACGCATCCATATCTCAAATTTTGGGTTTTACCGCAGAATCCCGACACAAAATCATAGGAATTGAGTGTCGGGATTTTGGTGTAAAGATGGGCAATGTAATTTACTTATTACGTAAAAGTAAAACCACTCTATGCGACAATTTAGTACATTATTAGTTGTAAGTATATATTATTGTAAATTGCACAGGATTTGATGTCGGGTTTTTAGTGTCGGGCAGTGTCGGGTCGATGACAAATTTTACGAAATTATGACTTGATATTATTGGGTGCAAAGCATCCAATAATTATATAGATATATTAATTACATCCGGATATAGATATCTAATTAAACGTTAATTTACAGTAAATATTAAATATACCGTAATGACACATTTTAGGAAAAGTCCCTACTGCCCACAAATTTCTTAAGAATGGACGTAGATCATTTATGTGTTACATTCATTGTTATATTTTGTCGGATTTACGAAAAAAAAATCCCGTTGTTCTCACATTCATATTCATGATTAAAAAAAATTGGTTTTTTTTAATTATGTATAATGGCTTCACTGGATTCGCAACAAGATCAACAAAAAATTATAAATTCGATCGCTGAAGCTTTAAGTAAGTTATCTAATTATTAATAAATATATTTGTTAAATTTATTGACATTATAATTGTTAATACGTACAATACAAACAAATACTTAGAGAAGCTCCAAGAAAGCGATGTAAAAAAATTTGATTATTCATCATTTCAAGATGTCCAACCTATCGGAAGTGGAGCGTCCTCAGATGTGTTCTCTACTACTTTCGAACAAAAACCATACGCATTAAAGAAAATGACTAGAAACCACAATTTAGATAATGAAATTCTTAAAATAGCAACCCGTGAGGTGATATGCTATCCTTTTACATAACCTTGAACTTGCAATATCTAAAATCTATTTGATTTATTAAATTACATAGCTTCAAATTCTTCATAAAGTTGATCATCCAAACATCATTAAATTTTATGGAATTTCTGAAGGTATTATGAAAGGTTTCTACTAAAATAATTAATTTATATTTAGATAATAAATTTTATATTTAAAAAATTTAGAACCACTGACAAATAATATCGTGATGGTGTTGCAACTAGCAAATGGTGGAAATCTAAGAAGTTATTTAAAAAGCAAGTGGTTTGATGGAAATTTCAAAATTGCCTGGACTGACATTATACAACTCGCAAAAGACATAACCTTTGGCTTAAATCATTTGCACGTCAACGATATCATTCATCGTGATTTAGTAAGTTATATAATTAATTGAATGTATTTATACTTTATATTATTATAATTAGAGATTTAAACTAATTAATTTGAAATTCCTTATAGCACTCCAAAAACATTCTTATAAATAGTGGTAAAGCTCTTATTGCTGACTTCGGATTATCAAGGCAATTAAATGAGGATGGCTCTATTACATCTAACTTGCCAGGCATGGCAGCATATATTGAGCCACAATGTTTTTTTAATAAAGAGACCAAACGTGATAAGAAATCCGACATTTATAGCCTTGGTGTATTATTTTGGGAGCTTACAAGTGGAATTCCTCCATTTTCAAAAGCAGAACATTATGGTATAATTTCGTGTATTATGAAGAATGATCGAGAGGAGATTATCCAAGGCACACCACAGAAATACTCAAGCCTTTACGTGAATTGTTGGTCTACTGATCCAGAAGTGCGTCCCGTTATAGGAAAAATTGTTGATGAACTTATCAGGATATCAGAAATGCCCATTGAATCTGAATTTATTTACAACAAAATTGCAGAAAATAAACCCGCCCCAAATTCTGGTTAGTCATCTTGTTATTAATATATTATTACTTGGATTTATAAATTCTTGTATTGATTTTCAATTTTAAATCTTATAGCGAATCTTATAGCTGACGGTCAACCTACACTATTATATGCACCATCATTAATTGATACACCATTATCATCAATTACAAATTTATCTGTACCATCAAATAAATCATCTATCAATTTGCTTGATGAAATATGGTTAATTTTTTTAAACTTAACAAATATTGGAAATGAATTCAGTCAAATTCATAAGGCTATAGAAGAATCTATTGAAAAACATCAAAGGCTTCCGAAAGATGTATTTAATAATCTTAAAAGTCTACCTAATTATCCAAATGCTCAATGTCTTCTTGGATTTTTTTATTTCGCTGGAATCGGAACTGAAAAACAATTTAATACTGCATTTGAAGCATTTCAAAAGGTAGCCGATCAAGATAATGCTCTTGGACAATTTTACCTTGGTGAATGTTTTAGATGTGGCTTTGGAACAAAAAAAGATCCAAAAAGTGCAATTGAATGGCATGAAAAAGCAAGTGATAAATGTGCAAGATCAACAAATGCCTTAGGTCTTTGTTATTTAAATGGAAAAGGTGTTAAAAAAGATAAACAAACTGCATATAATTATTTTAAAGTATCATATGAGAAAGGGTGTATTTCTGCATGTAATAATTTAGGCAATTGTTATGAACTTGGTATAGTAGTAGAAAAAGATAAAAACGAAGCATTCAATCATTATAAAATTGCAGCCGAAAAGGATATTCCATTTGGACAATGTAATTTTGCAAGGTGTTATAAGAATGGGATAGGGACAAAAAAAAATTTAGACTTAGCAAAAGATTGGTATAAAAAAGCAGGAGATAACGGACATGAGGATGCAAAAAAACAATATGATCAATTAAACAATAAAGGGATTAGCTTCACAATGTTTAAGGTAATCAAATTCTTGCCAAATATATTTAAATAAGTTTAATGATTTTTATAATATTTTATTTAGGCAAAAGGAAATAATCATATACAGAGCAATGACAATAAAAATTAAGTTATTCTAAAAATTTTAAATGCAGAAAAATCATTTAAGCTTTCATATTTTTTAAAAACCAATTTAATATCTTTTAAAAATTGCTCATTTTTCGTAAATTTTAAATTATTATTTGTTTATATCATTTTCATTTGTGTTTGAAACACTTGGGGCTTGTGTTTAGTCACTTGGATCCATGCAAAGGCACTTGAGATTTGTGCAGGAATATTATCCTTTATTTATGCATACATAAAAATCTTTCTTTTGTATACTATTTTCTAATTGATATATATAATAAATAAAGGTATATATAAGTAAATAAATATACGTGCAATTATTTATGAGCTACAATTCCGAGTTTATATGATTTAAACTAATATTATTTATTATTACTGAAACAATGTCTCTATTTAAAAATATAAACTCGCTAACATCTACTTATCGTTATACTCTTTATTACTAACTCTGGCTCTAAATCCTAACTATATATGGTAACAACAAAAAAACACATCTAAAATATTTTACAATATAGGAATAACATAAAGTCACAATGTTTTATAAAGCAGCAGTTATTGATCTTAGAATATTTCTTCTTTGTTCAATGCTTTACTATGGTCAATATATAAAAGAAATCAATTATTTTATGGCACTTTTTATATGATAAGATTATTGATCTTATTTCATAAACTGAAATAGTAAATCATTGAATAAAACCGTTATTGCATATTCTCGTATGCATCAACTACTGCATTTTATGGGCGATGATGATTGTTTGATAATCCAGCCGATACGGTTGGGCTACAGAACGATCAGAAGAGAACATAAAATACAGCAGTTATTGCATACTTCTCATGCAATAACTATATATTATCTAAATTTATAACAATGGTAAGAACCAGTAATAATGTACATCTAAATTATGGAAATATTGTTTTTTTTACAAAATTCAATAGCATCTGAATGATTATTCTGAGCAGCTCTTCTAATATATTTCACACCTAATTCTTTATCTTTAACATCAGTAAGGCCTGTATAAAGTATATTTCCAGCATTATACATGCCATCTACAAGTCCATTATCAGCAGCTTTCTTGAAATACTTTGCTGCTTCTGAATAATTTTTATCAACACCTGTGCCTTTAAATAAACATAACCCATATTTTAATTGTGCAACAGGTACTTCATCACTTGCATCCGCAACTTCTTTAAATAATTGAGCTGCACGCCTTTCTCTTTCTTCTTCAGTATAAGAAGTACTTATTAACCTTTTGTAAAGGTAATAACCAACAAAGTATTTTGCTTTTAAATCTCCTAAAAATTGATTAATAAAGAAATTTGTAATGTTTAATTAATTGGTTTACTTTATATGTATTTAATAATCAAACATTAAATCATCAATACTTAAATATATAACTGATTAGATTACCTAATTTTGCATATGCATTGAAACATTTGTATGCCATCTCCAAATTGCCATTTGTAGAACGATGTGTTGATGCAGCTTCTTTCATTGACATATAATTAAATTCAGCAAAGTTAATAATCTCTGTAACTTGAATATTATCATCTTGAATATTATTATCATTATGAATATTTGATATAGGTGGGACATCATTAATTTTATAAGGTATTTTAGAGGATAAATTTGGAGGATTTAATGGTTCAAAAAGATTTTCAAGAGTTTTAAACATTTCTGTTAAAGTTGGTCTAAATTCGGGATCAGCACCAACAGCTATAAAAAGTTTTGAATTATGATTATTGAAAAGAATTAGAAAAAAAAAGGAATCAAAAGATAGATATAATAAAATTCAAACCTTTTCTAGAGATATCCTTATATTCTTTTGGTAACCCAGAAAATTCTGTAAATGGTTCACGATATTTTTCCTTATCTACACGGTTTTTAATTTCCATAATATCATCAAGGTCTTTGTATGGAATTCTTTGCTCTGCTAATTCCCATAAAAGGATGCCAAAACTAATCATTATACAGTATGATAATAATTATTAAATATATTATTTAACAGTAATGATTTGTTATAAATATGATAAAAGTGAGAAAAGTGGTAGATTTAAGCAATTAAATACCTGTAGACTTCACATTTAGTATTATATTTGTTATTATTTCTATATAACATTTCAGGGGCAGCATAACGAACAGTTTGTAATGACACGGCTAATTTCCTTGTATCATCTCTAAAGAATCTACTAAATGAAAAGTTGGTAATTTTTGCAGTTTCGTTTTCAGTTATCAAAATGTTTTCCGGTCGAATGTCTCTGTGAACTATCTGTATAATCATTTAAATATGCTATATAGTTCAATAAAGTTTACTATATAAAAAAAAAACATCGATAGCAAATGAAATTACCTCTACAGCCAGTAAAAAGTTTAATCCTCGAGCAATATCGACTGCAATACTTAATTTTTTTCTAACGTCAATAGGGCCATCGTAACGGTTATAAAATTCTCGTAAATTACCACATTCAGCCCACTCAGAAACCAAATAACATCTTTCGCTGTCAGAAATAAGGCCATGAAATTGAATTATCTGCTGGCAATCCTTAAGCTTCGTAAGAATAGCAACTTGGTTACGAAAATCATTCTTAGCTTTGGTAGTATCTGGTTCATCAGTTACGTATTTAAAAGCGACAGCTTTGTTATCAATTAGGCGAAGGTACTTTTTAACTTTTTTTCCACGAATTTCATCTGTTTCTATAAAATCATCAATTTTAAGCGACTTATTTTGAACTTCAATAGCTTGCTGGATTTGCTCTCGATTAGTTTTTGAATCCAAAATGAGTTTTTTGACCATATTTATTTCATTGACATTTTCACTTATGTTATTATTTTCATCAGTGATACCACCACCAATTTTGAAAAGATACTATTAATTATTATAATTATTTAAAATACTATTTATAAAGTGACTATTTACTATAAGAAATAATGATAAAATAAAGCACCTGATTAAGTTCTTCAAGATCATTATCTATGATCTCTTTTTCATGCTCTGTACGACTTTTTATATTATCTGTATTAATAAAATTTAACGTGTTTATGCAACTATCAAATTCTGTTGTTAAATCATAAAATATAGTTTGAACAGATTTAGTTTGACTATATTTCAGTAGTCCTTTCAATTGTGTTATTTCGCTAATAAATGTTTTCATCTTTTGGATATTATCAGAAAGTTTTTGTATGGTTACAAAATTTTGCTTGTTAAAAAATTCTTTGTATTCGTCTTTATATGCTTTTAATAATCGAAGTGATGTTTCAACTGCTACAATCCGTTCAAATAATGATCTACTAATATGTTTATTATGTTCTGCTGACTGATATATTGGTGTTATTTCTCCAGTAACATTTATTATATCAATTATAATTTGCGTAAATTTTGAAAATGGAACAGCATTTAAAGAAGGAGTCGATTGCGTTGATTCGATATCTGTACCTACTATAAAATGAATTTTATTAATAAATGATTTATTCTTAATTATAAAATATAATAGTCTTTAAATTATTAATTACCTTTGTATTTATAGTTCAAAGTATTCATATTAATATTTTGATAAATTGGTTCTAGTTGTATTTTGTCTAACTTATTGCAAATTTCTTTAATATCAGGACGACTATCTGGATCAATACTCCATGCAGCACAATAAAGATTTTTGAAGTCAATGGGAGTTCCTTCAATTGGAATTTCTCGATTACCTTTAATTACATAAAGTGTTATTTCTACTAGATCTTTCGAAGCTCTAAAGGGAGGTATGCCGCTTGACAGTTCCCAAAAAAGAACACCAAGACTATAAATATCTGAAGGCTTGTTCCGCCTATACAAGAACGGACTTTGAAGATATTGTGGATCAGAATAAGCACATGTTCCACCTGTTATAGACTTTGTACTGTTATCTAATAATTTAGATAAACCAAAGTCTGTAATAATCATTCTACCATCGTGTACTAATATGTTCCTATCATGCTATTCATATTATATTATATTAATAATCATCATAACAAAAACGACAAACTAAATAAAGAAAATTTTCTTACAAGGTCTCGGTGAACAATATTTGCACTATGCAAACAATTGATCCCACTAGAAATTTCTTTTGCCATTCTAATTTTAGTTGGCCAATCTAATTTTGAAAAGTGTTCATTCAAATAACATCGAAGGTCTCCACTATTTGCGAATTGAAGAACCATATAATATGTTCTTGTTTCAGAATCTAATTTACGAATTTTATGTCACTTTTCAATAATCAGAATATACTTATCCATCTTATAAAAATTAACATACCTTGAGTAATTCCAAAGAATTGTATTATATTATCATGATTAACTTTGGTAGTATATTTAACCTTGTAATATTAAAATATAAAGGTTTATAAAATAGATATGTGAATAACGCCGTATGTGCTTGTAACAAAAATAATGCGTACTTCTCTAATAAAGTTGTCAAACGAATATTCATGATCGTAATCTAAAGTCTTCAAAGCCACCATTTGTTTTTTATCTTTTGAGTAGGCTTTAAATACAGTTCCGGATCCTCCTCTACCAATTCTTGTCTTGTCCTCAAAAGAAGCATATTCGAATTTTTGCCCAAAAGCAATATTAAATAAATCTTTATTTGACATTTTTATAAAAATTTAAAAGAAAATTAAAGTAATAACAAAAAAAATAAATTTATATTATTCAAGACTCGAAACTGTGTATTTGGTTTTCAAATTTTTTTTTTTTATACACATATATGATCCACCGACTTTGTCATGATGATTACTTCTAAATTAATATAATTCAAAACCAAGGATGTAGTAACACGAACTGACGGAATACAAATTTCCAAAAAGAAATCTATAATGATTACACTACTCGAAAATCTAACGTACAGTACATATAAAATACTTATACAGTACATAGACTTCGGCTCTATACATAAAATGTATATGGAGGAAAAACCCTAGTATGTGCTACTGGGATGGCCATAGATTAATGGGATTACTATTATTACCCTCTTAAGCTGCCCACCTATCGAGAGCTAAACATTTCCCGGTGGATACTGGCATTGAATATTTAGGCTCTTCAAAAGCTCTCCAGTCTTTCATTATCACACATAAATTTCGTTGTATTTACATCCCGATTCCACAAAGTCAAACAGGCATTTCAATGCATAAATTTGTTGTGATTTATCGAACTAACCTTCACATATAGCCATGATTATAGTATAAACCCATTTCATGAATTATTTTGTTGACAGTCATCTCATAGATAAAGCTTGGGTGATAGGGTTGGCCTGATAAATTGTTAGTGTTGGCTAGAGGTAGATTGTTTATTAATTTTACAAAAACTTTAACTATGTATGTATGTACATAATTTAATCAATGAACATTAAAAAACTGTGATTAACATATTTTATGAATAACGAAAAATCTATACGAATATTTTGAAACTATGAAGATTTATTTGTCTGTTTTCTATTTGTTTTGTGATTTCAATGATCATTATTTCAAAAGTGGAGGAGTAAGTTAGTGATTTGCAACGATGGGTGATTAATAATTTCAATGATTGGTGGAATTATAGTTGCTGTCCAAAAGTTAGAACTATTGGTCCAAACTGGTTATAACTGAAATTTTGTCTCAAATCCTATTTCATACATTAAGTTCAGGACAAGTTCGATGGCTTTAACTAGTCCCAAATAATGGCTAATACCTTAAAAAGTCCCAAAGTCCCAAGTCACAAACTAGTTAGGTTTGGACAGCAACTATAGATGGAATAGTGATTTTAAGAATGGCGTTGGTGATATTAAAAGTAGGTTAGTAATTTGAACATTGAGTGAGTTTACTGTTTCAACAGTAGATCGGTTAGTGCCTTTAATATTGATGGGTTAATTTTAACGGTGGGTTAATAGCAAGTATTTAAGATTTGAGTAATGGTAAGTTAAAGATTTAACAACAGGTGGATTTGAGATTTTGTATTATAAGTTCGTGACTTAGCAGTGACTTCAACTGTTGGTGTTCGTTTTAGCAGTGCAGATTCATGGCTTTGACGAAGATGAGAAAAATGATAGTAAAATGATTGTTAAGGAAAGCATTGTCGGTGAAATAATACAGTTAGATAAATATTTTGTCGAGAAAATCATTGTTAAGAAATTTTTACTGTCAGAGAAATAAATGTTAGGAAAATAGGGTTGGTGAGATAAAATGAGTGTCAGAAAAATTGGTCTTGTCAGAAAAATTAGTGTTGACAAAAGTAGTGTTATCAGTCTTATTATTAGGCTTAGTATTAGTATTATGATAAATTTTAATTTTATTAATGATAATTGTTATACAAAGCTTGAATTGTTTCTGATATACTAAAAATATATTTTAGTAATAATGTAATAAAAGCTTAGGTTATTATGAACAGTTAATTATTATCCAAATATTATTAGACTCTATAGAGTTGTAAAAAGTAAAAAATCTTATAAGTTTTGAGCATATCAAATACTAATCTTTAATTAAATAATACTGCTTACTTCATATATTATAATATTTTATCTTATTTTACAAACAATCCAATTTTTTTTGCAAAAACTATTTCATAAACAGTTCATTTTATAGACAAATACATCTTACTGCCCTAAAAAAACAATTTTATTTTAATAAAATCAATTCATAAATAAACTATTTTATAGATACTTTATTTTATCAACAGCTATAAGGTAATTTTTAGTAAAAATAGTTATAATTATTGTATAAAATTATATATCAGACAATGTATAATAAGATAGTTACATATTATATAAGCATGTTAATTAACTTAGTTGTACTTAGGTTTATATTTAAATTTTATAACCAATATAAATTAATAGTTACTTTACTTTGTACACCAATACTAGGTAATCCATATTAAAAAAATTTCTTAAAAAAAATAATATATAGAAGTTAAACCTAATTTTCTACAAGAATAACAGTTTTTGTATCAAGAAAATAAAAGTAAGTATATATATTTGAAAAAAATAAATACAAAATAGGTGAGATAAATACAGCTAAGACACAAAACAAAACAAAAAAAAATCAAATTTATAATTATAGTCAAATTTTAGTTATATTATCTTCTTATTTAGAAAAATTTTGAATACTTAACTTAAATAGAGATATAATTAAGATAATATTTAATAAATATAGAATATTTATTTAATAATTAATAAAAATACAACTTAGTAAAGATATAACTGATATTTGAATCAAAGAACAAAATAATAAAATTAACAAACAAGTTATTTTAAAAATATAATTAATATAACTAACACAAATTGATTAAAATAATAAAAATTAAATATATAAAGAAAGTTTTATTTATTAAAATATTAACATTATTTGTAATATTAAAAATTCTAATAATATTCTTATAAAAAAATATATATTAATAATTTTTTTAATAATTTATTATCAAAATAATATAATATTTAATAGATAAATTACTATTAAATTAACAAATAATTAATAAAACAATTCAAAATATAAACCTAATTCTAATATTACAAAAATAATAAAAATCTGTACTTGTACATATAGTTTAAGCTTGTTATAAAATCTTTAAAAGACCAAGTTATATTTTTTAAATTTTTTTGTAAAAAATATAAGCTTAAAGAATAATAATATTCTTATTTTAAAAAATAGTAATTCTAGTAATAGTTAGGTTGTAATTTTCCAAGCAGTAAATTCAAAGTTCAAATCTTATTGACAATATAATTTTAAAAAGATAGCTATAATTTGATAATATAGAAGAGATATCTGGAGTTATAGATTTGTAATTCTAGTTGTATTAAAACTAATTAAAAGTATATAATATTATATAAATAAATTTAAAAAATATTAAGTGTAATAAAAAATTTGATTTTAATAACTTGGATAAGGTATCTGATATATTAATTAGAAATTGATCAATTATGCATTAAATCCAAAAAAGATTTATTGCATAACTATTTAGTAAACATAGCATAGTAAGTAAATTTAGCAAAGATTGCATATACAGTAGATTTAGTATAATATGTATAAGTAGCAAAACTAGTATATATAGAATAACTAACATAATTAGCAGATATAACAGATATGTAAATAATATATAAAGTACAAAACATTTGTATATAATAAACAGTTTGGATACATATACCTATACACTCTAATAAAATATATGTTTTACCAAATTCACACTCTTTTTCATAATAGTATTATTATTTAACATTATGCAAACCAACCTAGGATACTTTATAATAAGGATTTTTAAGTTAGTAACTATTTGTAATATTATACTAAATTTAGATTCTATAATTTTTATTGTACCAAAACTAATTTTGAATGTATATAAGTAAATCTAAAAAGTATATACTAAATAATAAGTTCTGATAAGAAATCTTAAGTAGAGAGATAATATAATCTTTAATAATATTATCTGTAAAAATCTTGATGAAAGAAAAAATCCTAAAGCAAGTAATATATATAGAAAAAAAATTTTAAATAAAAAGATTCATCAACTTGGCTATTAATTGATCTAAATATAAAGTTGTATTATACAAAGTTAATGAAATTATTAATAAAGAAGAACTTATAAGAATATACAAAGTACTAATAAGATTGTAAAAAAGAATACTAAGATTATATAAACTCTACAAAACTATAACAGTATAATAATTAGTTCTAATTGCAAGTATTATTAGTCTTAATCATAGTACAATACCAAATTAACTAAAAATTAAAATATAAAAAACTTTAGTAAGTTTTGTACAAAGTTAAAAGTTCTCTATATTAATAAATTGTTTTAAAGACTTAAAAACTATAACATAGTTGCATTACTAATAACCAAGACAGTTGGTAAGATAGATAGATAAATAGATACAAGAACTAGAATATTTAAATAAAAGACTTACAAACAAGTTCTAGGTATAACAACTAGTTAAAATCTTTAATTAAACTACTCAAATTAAATAATAATTGTCATGGGCATTACCAATTAGGTAAGTATGCCATTATGACAATCACTTTGCAGGTTTTTTGGCGTGACAGTTTACCTCTGACATTACCATTATATTTCTTAATAATAATGCATCTTTAAGTTGGACTTTAGGTAGTTATATATATATATATAATTCCTTTTCCGACATTTTTGTTTAACCTATTCAAGGTAGGTTTAGACTGCCGTTTTTTGCATTTTTTAAGGGTTTCATTTTTCTTTCTTGTATTACTTCGCCGGCGATCATCAAAATTCTATAATTTGATTGGCTGTCGATCACATTATTTGGCTCTGCTAGACGACCCTATTTTAGAAAGGTTAAGTTAATTCCGGCAAGAAATTCTAAACAATTATGTCATGCTGGCTAACATTTTACAGATCCACGGCGTTAGCCAATCAAAATCGAGGATCTGCTGTAACAATTTTGTTGCGGCAGCTAAATTATACTGATATTTGCCATCATCCGAAAATCTAAAAAATGAGAACATAAATTACACTGATCATTTTCATCATTGGAGGTCTAAAAAGGAGCACCCTTTTGTTTATCGGCTATGATGTGAAAGATCGTAAGTTACACTAATGCCTGTCGTCGTTTAAAGGTCTAAAAAAAAAAATCTTAATTATCGGCTATGATCTGAAAGAACATAAATTACACCAATGCCTATCGTCATTTGAAGGTTTTGAAAAAGCATTTTGATTATCAACTATGATATGGAAGGACATAAATTACACTAATGCTGCCGTCATTTGAAGGTCTAAAAGATCATCTATGTAACACTTATCTGTAAATTTGGCATTCATTGGAATATGTACTATATCAGTAAGTATACTCATACGGTTCTATTACAAAATTCTGACATCATCATTATATCAAAAGGTTACTATAACAAAAGTGTATTGTATTTAGGCATACTGGTTCATCCTGTTATTTAACTCAGTAATTCAGTTAATGAATGAAGTCAGATTCATTTAAAAATCTAATTACATCGAAAGCTTACTATGAAGAACTTCTTTGGATATAACAAACTTGAAAATTTTTAAAATTTATATTAGAGTTTGTAGCACGTAGGTTTTGTATACATGATCCTTTAATATTATTTAAATTTTTAATTCATATTTATAGATTATTTTAAATCTGTTCGAGATCATTATTAATCAAGTTTCTCTTTAAAATCAGGCCTGCAGAAAAATTTGATTGCGATTATTTAAGCCCAATCAATTGATCAGTAATGTAGTTATTGAGAGTCAATTAATTGTAATTTTTACAGTTGTTTGAAAAATGTAACGATTTTATAAAATATGTTATAATAAACATAGTATTATGGGTAGAGATGAACAGGAGGAAACGTATCCTATCCAAACTGTGAGGGATTATATTTGTAACATTGGCAGTTAAGTGATCCATATGTCCTGCAAACCAGGTGTGGGATTAAATTTGGATCGGTACGTTTCCTCCTATTGTAGAGATGGACAAATCAACAGCAGAGACCGTCAATGTTACACATATATTAAAACTGGTGAGGGATTATATCCATCACAATTGAATCCAACATAAATAATTTAATTTGCGATTGATCACAGGCGAGAGGGATTCATTTTGGATCGGGCACTGTCCCTGCTGTAGGACAAATCGCGGTTTTTCAAAAAATCCCACGCGTCACGCGCGGGATTCATTAAATCTAGGTGCCGCGCGGTTGAACCTCAATTTTGATTTTCCAACGGCTGTGATCGACAAAATGTTGGCTGCATTATACATAATTTTGGCCGGAGTTTAATATTTTAATTGTTTAAGGTTTGGGTCTGTGTAATGGTAATAAATTTTAATTAGGAACTAGCTAAATATGTTAATGCAGGTCAGATATTATATTAATGCTAGCCAAATATTATGGTAATGCCAGCCAAATAATCTTATTTCGGAATCATATTAAAAATCCCGCCCGTGCCCATCTTTACCTGTAATTGAATCTTTAAGTTTATCACTATTAGGGATAGGCAATGTAATTTTTTAGGTAATTAGTATGTATTTTTTAATCATTACATAACTTATATAACATTACATATTTATTAATAATTTTTAAAAAAATCGATATCAAAAAAATAAATAAAAAGTTTAATTTATCGATACCAATATATAGATATAAATAAAATATTAATATAATTTTAAGTTAATAAAATATTACCAAAAATATCAAATTGGCCTTTACCAAATTCACAAATTCGATATTTTCTTCACAAACTTCCAAAAGGTTCTACTGGTCACCTATTAGGTCCTCTTTAGCAAGCATTTGATCCAGTAAAGACTGATAAAAGGCTTAAAACAAAATGTATTTTTTGTAATTCTGTTAATGTTAAGCCTATATCCGACACTGGGTCAATCATGAGTTCACATATTAAAAAATATATAAAGATTCCTTTAGAAGTTCAAAACTATCTTATTGATGTTTATACAATTCAATAACAAAAAAATTCTAATGCTAATATTTGAATATACAAAATCAACAAGATATTCAATCAGATATATCAATTACACCTTCAATATCAATTTCAAATTATGGGATTATTACAATTTTTAATAATAATAATCAAGCATTTATGCTATTGGATATAAAAAAGTCTAATCAACTATTATTAGAAGATATAATTGAAGGTGGAGTATCACTTACTTTTGTAGATTCTCAAAAATTTAAAAAGTTTGTTTATTCTATAAATAATACATATCATGTTCCAGCAAGAAAACAACTTTCTAATAATATTCTTGATGAGATTTATTCAAATGTTCAAACATCTATTAATCAATTTATATATAAATCAAATTGGATAACTATTATAACTGACAAATAGACTAATATTCATCAAGATCATCTTATAAATTTTATGATTATTGAAAAAGATAGACAATCAGAACTTATTAAGATTAAAGTTATTCATGAAGAAAGCCAAATAGTAATAGTTATTTTTAGAGATTTGGAAAATATTTTATTATAAATTGGAATTGAAAAAATCAATACTATTATTACAAATGATATTGCAAATTATATATATGTGAAAATTATGCTTATACAAGTATGTAATTTTTTTTATTTAATATTTTGAACAAATATTACTTATAGTTACACTATAAAATTTTAAATTATTTAGTAATATTTAGAAATTTTAGTTATACCATGTACTGTGTAGGAATCAAATTTATTAGTTGGTAATATGTTAAAGTTTATATATAAAAACTACAATTAGTTCTGTTATAAAAATAACTTTATATATACAAATGAGTACTCAAGCAATTGAATATATTCGAACACATACTGGTAATAATACTTTTTGATTTTCATTTTTAATTCTTACAAGATGAAACTTATTTTTTTGTATCTTTATAACAAGTATAAAATAAAGAATAATACTTAAAGGTTTGTTATATTAATTTAATATATATAGATTTTTTTATAAAAATTAAATACATTTTAAATGTTTTTTAAAGATATGACCTATGAAATTAGATTACAATTAAATGAATCTATTATTTTAATTCTTAAAATTAATATTTTTTAGGATTAATTAAGAATTATTATTTGAATATTAGAACCATATTCATTAATTCCAATTATATTAGAATCTCAACATGCAATACTTATTGTTACTATATACTTATAGAGATAATTACAATTTATTATTAATATAATTAAAGATATAGATTTTCAAAATTATATAAATGCATAAATTCAACATTGATGAAATCAAATATATAGTTTAATTTTTATTATTTGTTGGTCTCTTCACCAAAAATATTTTCTTTTAAGAACTATTCAGATAGAACTTACAACAATTATTAAAAAAGAAACTAACATTTTATTTGAATATCTATTTCCTAATAAAGATGTAAAAAAATTTCAGATGCAATTAATTGATTAAAATAATAAAGTATATCCATTTGATTTTAATGGTAATTGGAATGAATATTTAGTTGAAAATCCTATATATTTTTGAAATAATTTTTATAATGAAATACCAGAATTAGCCACATTTGCTGCATGAGTTATGTCAATACTATTTACTTTAACTGAAAGTGAAAGATTTTGATCATCAATAGTAAATATTCATTTATTACAACATAACAGATTAATAAATAACTATATAACAAAATTAATATGTATTCAGTAACATATTACTCAAGATAAAAATAATATTACTAAAAATAAAAAAGGAATCACCAATTTTGAACAAATTTCTCAACAAATGGATCATAGTAGTTCTAATAAAAATGAAACAACTTTGTCAAATATCTCATTTGATGATACTAAAATTAATAAGTTTAATTTGGAAGAACAATTTGAAAATTCAGAAGAGAAATTTGAAAATTCAGAAGAACAATTTGAAAATTTAAAGGTGCATATTATAGAAACACTTGAAAATATAGATAATTTCAATACTAATGATCAAATTTTTTATAATGAAGCTATTAATGAATATAATATTCAATTTTCTATTCAAGGCACAAGTGATAATTATGAATCGGCTTTAGAGGATCTGCTACTTCTTGAAAAATTTGATAGTATTTAATTATTTAATTGTAATTTTTGATAAATAAAATTTTGATTAGCATTAGCAGTAGTTAAAAATTTTTGGTAAACAAAATTTTAATTAGCATTAGCGGTAGTTAAATTTAAATAAATGATGTAATTTCCCATTATTACCTATTGCAGCAAAAATTTAAATAATATTACATAAGAATATGTAAAGCGTATGTAAAAAATTTGCCTATCCCTAATTACTATAGATCATTATAGTGATAAACTTCAGTTACAGGTTTTCACTTTGCAGCACTCAAATCTAAAATATAATAATAATTTTTAATATATTTTAAAAAACTTGTGCACGATGATTATTTCAAGGATAAGGATTCACTTTGATTATTTATAGCTTGAAACCTCTTCGTTTGGACATGAGTATTATGTACAGCTGTGCATGCTACTGTGTAACTCATTGTGAAGCAGGGTTCATTTAGTTTCGATTATATAATTTGAATCGTAATTTTAGGATTATGAATAAAGCGTTTAACTGATGGTGCTATCATAAAACATTTTAACTGGATGGTGTTGGCATACAACAATTTATTTAATGTGTGCCTATTTTTGGATTCCTTTTAACGTTAATTCCAATTTGATAACAATCTCTCTCTCTCTCTTTCTATTTTCTATTTACAATGACGTTTACATTTAAATCTAATAGAAATTTTAGTCTATTTTAATATTTGGATTATTAGATTTTATGGTAAAACCAATATCGTTACTACGAATATACAATCCTTTCAGTGTAGTATTCTTGCAAAGTGCATCAGCTAATGCTTTTCCTACTTCTGATTCAAGATTATTCGATCGAAGATCTAAAGACATTAAGGTAGTGTTATTGCAAAGTGCATCAGCTAATGCTTTTCCTCCTTCTGATCCAAGATTATTCGATCGAAGATTTAAAGACGTTAAGGTAGTATTCTTGCAAAGTGCGTCAGCTAATGCTTTTCCTCCTTCTATTCCAAGTTTATTCCAACCTAAATATAAAGAAGTTAAGGTAGTGTTCTTGCAAAGTGCATCAGCTAATGCATTTCCACCTTCTGATCCAAGATTATTCGCTTGAATATATAAAGACTTTAAGGTAGTGTTTTTGCAAAGTGCATCAGCTAATGCTTTTCCTCCTTCTAATCCAAGATTATTTTTATATAAATTTAAAGACGTTAAAGTAGTGTTCTTGCAAAGTGCATCAGCTAATGCTTTTCCGACTTCTGATCCAAGATTATTCGATCGAAGATCCAAAGACGTTAAGGTAGTGTTCTTGCAAAGTGCATCAGCTAATGCTTTTCCACCTTCTGATCCAAGGTTATTATAACTTAAATTTAAAGACGTTAAGGTAGTGTTCTTGCAAAGTGCATCAGCTAATGCATTTCCGCCTTCTGATCCAAGGCCATTCTCTTGAATATTTAAAGACTTTAAGGTAGTATTCTTGCAGAGTACTTTTATTAACTCGGTTATTTTTTCTGATCCACATTTGCGAGAGAGATTCCAAGATGAAGCGATTTTTTGATCTTTATCGGTATGCTGACTGTTCTTAAGAATTTGTTCGTAAAGTTCTAATGCTTTGAGAAATTTGCCTTGATCCAAAGTTTATTTGGCTTCTTTTCTTATATCCTCAATGTTACCTTCTTGCATCGAAGTGGTTGAACTTATTCTATCAGGCAAACAAAGAGGAGATGAAGTCGAAATGTCGAACGAATTTACGAATGCAGGAGCGATTGGATTATCTTGACGACTTGAGGAAGAATCGCTATTTTGAGTTAATGCTTCACTAGCGTTATGTTGACTCAAAGTTTTGGTAGTATTAATTGTATCAGGTAAATAAAGAGGAGATGAAGTAGTAATATCGAACAAATTAACAGATGCGGTTGGATTATGACGATTTGAGGAGGAATTATCGCTATTTTGAGCTGATGTTTCACTGGGATTACGTTGACTCAAAGTTTCGTCGGGATAAAGTTGATTTAAAGTATTAAGAATTTCTTTTATTTCTGGACGATTGGCGGGATCGCTGTCCCAACAACGAGTGTGAAGTTCAATATACAAAGGTGGTGTACCTTCTATCGGATCTTCTCTATTTCCTTGGAATATGTGAAAACAGAGGGCCATTTTCGATTCAAATGTTTGAAATGGAGGTCTTCCGCTAGAAATTTCCCAGAGGATAACGCCAAAGCTATAGATGTCAGATTTCTTATCACGCTTATATTTGTGATCGATAAGGCATTTAGGTTCCATATACGACGGCATCCCAAGAATGACCGAATTTGAAGTCATAGATATTTCATTTATCTGCTTCGATAGCCCAAAATCCGCAATTTTTACTTTTTTTTGATGAATTAAGATATTCTTCGAATGCTGAATTGCAAGAGTATATTAGTGAATTAATAAATACGTAAACCATAAATACCGTAACATTTATAGTGCTTACAAGATCTCTATGAATAATATCATTATTGTGTAGAAAGAGAAGTCCAAATGCTATTTCCTTAGCGATACGTAGCTTATCTGTCCATCGCAACCTTGCGAAATTCGTATTCAAATATTCTCGTAAATTTCCGTTATTTGCATATTGTAAAACCATATTATAATATCCATTGTTATCTATTTAATCACAATAAATATTCTTGATAATTATTTTAGGCAAATTCAAACTTGTAAATTGCATATATACCTTTCGTAACCCCATAGAATTTAATAATATTACGATGGTAACCGACCTTTAGTAATAGCTTAAGCTTTCATATTTTGATTATTGAGATGTAGAAATTCAGTATACACTAGGAAATAATGCATGTGATTATATAATAAATACCTCTTTAATAAAATCTTTAATAATTTCTTTGTTTATGTTGGAATCAATTTTAAGACATTTAAGAGCAACAGTTAAATCACAATCTTTCCATTCGTATTTGAAAACATTTCCGAAGCCACCTTCGCCAATGATTACAGGTTCTGTAAATTTATTATATTCAAGATTATTAATAAATCCTTCGGAAATAGCTTTTTCAAGCCATTCTTCTGGTGTGTTTGCCATGATTTTTTGTATGCGAAAAAAAATGTATGCACTGTACGTATGTACATGTCATTTATACTTACTGACTATGTGAGCATATGAGGGACGAAAAGGGAAAACATCTAACTCAACGAGTGAAATGATTTACAGGTTTTCCCTTTTCGTCACTCATATTGAGGATAATTAATCAAAAGTAATGTTACACACATTAATTCTTAGTGGTGTAACACAAACCCAATAGTTCCGAATACTGTTACTATTGTAAATCGGGAGAGCGGGTAATATAGAACAGTTTAGTTCCAATAGTTAACGTGATACTTAGTTTAATAATATAATTACTATTAAAGGAAGTACTGTCGGTAGGGTTCGATATACTATATTTGGGTTAGGTCGATAGTAATTAATCGGAAGGG